GCACTCAGTCGTTGTTGATGTCAAGTTCTTCGTAATTTGTTTTCGCCGCAAGAGAATGGAATGACCGTCAGACTGTCGATGGGAGTAATTCAGTGAAATTCAAAACTACCTTTGTAGACGAACAAACGACGTATTTAACTCTAAAAGATTGAGTAAATACCTACGTTGTGATTTTGCCGAATGAAAAATGAAATTAAATTCACCGCGCGGTTCATTTATTGTTGTGGTCGTCATTTCCAAGTTCTTTGTCGATTATTTTCACCACCACGAATTGCAAAGACCGTCCAACTATCCATGGAAAAATTCAACCAAATGTAGGGCTGACCTTTAAGCCGAACTTTGTTGCATTGAACTCCGATATCGAATGCGTCAATGCTTTCGCTGTGAGTTCGGCAGAGGTTAAAAATTCCACTCCCTACTGGGCTTAGTAGGTGAGCTCAGTGGAGACAAACTTTAACTGTCCTGCCCCTCCCTCCAATCATTAGGGGACTTAAGCATGGGTCGTTAACCACGGGTAGATTGTGAACCGCGCTCGACCCATGGCCGCGCGGTTAATAATAATAAACCACGGGTAAACCATGAACCGCGCTCGACCCATGGCCGCGCGGTTAATAATCTCAACATTAGCAAACATTATCGGGAACTTTCAATACGAACCATATTCACAAAGGTTGACTTTTCGTCGCCAAACCTTAACAATAAATGACTTTCAGAGAAAAACTATGCAAAAGTTGCTTTCCTTGCAGCGGTTATCAATCACACGCGACCTCGAGCGGAAAAACATCTTGACAAAACCTGGTGGACGTCAATCATCTCCGTCTCCTTGCCAACTGTGTGCAAAATTTAGCTGAAAAAAATGTGAAACCTTGCAGCGGTCCACCCGTAAAAATCATCATTTTACTTTCGGTATGTACGGCTAGCTCACTAAATACAGCGGCATTAAATATTCCTTGAAATCTATAAATGAAGGCATTTGTCTGGTTTCTCAACGGCCATTCGCATGCATGAATGACCCCGAGATCAAGCAAATCTGCACGCGAGCGAACAAATTATTTCTGTACGTATTTTTCTTGGGGCTACGGAATAAACTTTATCAAGAGTACCCGTCGGATCCACTCCGCAAAATATCCGCTCTGCAGACTAAAGTTGAGCTGGCTGGGAATCTTAGCAATAAACAGAATCTTGCTGAGAATTTAGCTTATCGAGAGCTA